ATGCCAACATGTTGCCTCTTTAAGGAGAGCAGCTGAAGAGAAAGAAAGGCTGGAAAATAAGATGCCTCCATCCCAGAAAGACCTGCAGAGCTGGGGAGCATTTCCCTTGGCCGGGCAGCATAGACAGTGTGCTGGGCTGAGAGCTCTGATCCTGCCTCTGACCCTTCCTGACCTTTCTTTCTTTCTTTTTTTAAATTTTTTATTAATTTATTTTGATTTATCAACAATCACTTCCATATGCTTTTGAGTTTAAAATTTTTCTTCCCCTTCCTTCCCACCACCCTTCCCAAGATGGTGCACAATATGATATAGGCTATACATATACATTCCAATTAAACATATTTTCACATTAATGATGCTGTAAGTAAACATTAGAACCAATAGGAGGAACCACCAGAAAGAGGGAACAAAACTCAACAGAAGAGAAAAAAAATAGCAATTCAAATTCCATAGTTCTTTCTTTGGATATGGATAGCATTTTCCATCACAACTTCCTGACCTTTCTTAACCAGAGTGTTCCACTGAACCTCCTGTGGTTTGGGGAGCAAGTGAGGGTCGGTTTTGGGGGAGGCCATGGAGCAAGAGTGGCACAGGATGGACAGGCATGGATGGGCTGCAATCTACATCAGTGAATGAAATGACCAACTGATTGAGACAGATAAGATGCTTTGCAACCTAGAAAGGGCTCTTTCTCAATGATAATCACCATTTCTGATGGTTATTGTTGGGTAGGGGCCATTCCCTGATCAACCTGATGAGCTCACTGGCCAGTGAGTGTTTGCTCAGACTGTTGGATGGCCACGCTTCTCCCCGCAGGGTAATGCTGGCACCTTGCTGAGGACAAAAGATAGCCCCTGAGTGAGTCACAGTAACCATGGCCACCCCAAGAGGAACTGGCTATTTTGATTATATGGGAGTGACCCTTCAGCACCTTCTGGAGATGGGTTTCAGTGGCTGTGTCTGCCCCCAACATGAATGGATTGGCTAGGACTCTTGTGGAAGGAGCCGTCCCTTTATGTTGGCCCATAAGTTACAAATTAGTATTCCTCCAGCACTCCTCTGTTCAATAAGCTTCAGTGACTCCTCACCACCTCAAGGGTCAAATATAAACTGTTCTGTTTGGCATTTAAAACCCTGCATAATCTTGCCCTTCACCTATTCTTTGAAATTCATTATACATCAGTTTCTCCATCCATTCTACGGTCCAGCTAAGCTGACCTTCTGGCCACTCCTTACATGCAGGAGTATGCCAGAGTCAGCTTGTAACAGCTCAAAAAAGCGGACTTAAATTTTCAATGCACACATTTACACCTCAGAAATCAGAAAATACCACAAATTTCAGCTTGATTTACTGCTTTGATGATTATCTAGACTTAAGGACATGATGGATAAAATGTTAATGATGCAGACTAAACCTTTTTTAAAAAAAGCTCCGTGAATTTGTAGAGAGCTGGCTGTTAAACATTTGCCAGCACACCCCCTACTTACCTCAAACACACAGTGCTCCATCTCCCTCCTCCTCCAAGCCTTTGGACCCGCTGTCCCCCTTCTTGCAATGCTTTCCCTCCTTACTTCCACCTCTTAGAATTTTTCCAAGTTCAGTTCAAGGTCTTTTCTGCCGCCCCCCCTCCCCAAACCCCAGCTGCTAGTATCCTCCCCACCCAAACAAACTACCCTGTCTGTATTTTGTATTTACTTACATATGTGTGTATGCTCTTCCCTCAATAAAATGAAAGCTTTGTGAGGGCAGGGACATTTTTTTCCATTGTGTCTCCACTGCCTAGCACATACTAAATATTTCATTAATTCAATACACCTTGATAAAGCGTTTAACATATACTAAGCACTGTGCTAAGTATTTAATAAATACTTGTTGATTGGCTAATACAAAAAAAGCGAGTCACAGAACGGATCAACTCTTTGAGGACTCCTTTTCTCTTGTCTTCAAGATCCTGAGATGGCAGGAGAGCCAAAAGTGGATCTGCATCCTGGGAAAGGGGGGCAACTGTCCCTTACCTTCACTAGCACTCATAAATGGCTGCCCTGGGACAGGAGCATTTGATCATCACATGGGCCTTGAGGGTGTTCATGGACACTCATCTCTTCTATGGAGGAGGTGGGATTTTGATTTCCTAGTCATGGTGGTCTCATCATCTAGTCTTTTAGTTATAAAAGGGAGATTTCTTGGGCAGCACCAATCTGGGGAACTGTCTCTTGAGAAACCCCAACTTTGAGAGTTTGGGGATCTGGTCTTTTAGAAAATGGAAGGGCGCTCCTAAGCAGAATGCCTCTTAGAATGAAAAGTTTGTCCATTGGCCCCATAGCTGGGGGATTAAGAAAAGGCTAAATCTACAATATGGTGGAGCAGAACACCTGGACTATACTTCACACTATTATCATTAGTTATTTAGACAGTACAGGCTTGCCTGTCCAGTAGTCCCCAAATATGCTTGCCTTCTGGGGAAGTTCAAACCACAGGGTGGCACTACAAGGTTGGGAGAAATTTTGTAGGGGCCTGTGGCTGCTGTCCCACTGACAACCTCAAGTTTCATTCCATTTTTGGTGTCAATACCTTGACGGTTTTTAGGGCCCTGGTGGAAAAGTTGAGATCTGCCAGAAAGATAGAAGATAATTGTGTTTATTGCTTGTGAACTACTCTAAGGGCATCATATATTTTTTGTATCTGTTTACACATTTCTGTAAACCTTTTGCAACTTTTGCATTTTTTTTAGCGTGTGTGGAGTGAAATAAAGGTTGTCCTCTACCAGCTATACATGTTACCTTGAATGCATATACAAAAGTTGGGAACCCTGTTATCCACATTTAGAAAACTAAAGACATGAGCTATAGTCAGAGATTTCTCAGAGTAAATACTATGCGGGGTGGGGGGGGCGGATAATGAATAAAGAGAGAGAAAAGTTTTGGGTCAACCCTTGAGATCAAACCCAGCCCATATGAGGTCAGAGCCTGGGAGTCCTTGGGCCATGGATTATGTTATCTGTTCCATGGCATTGATGACTTCCAAGGTCCAGTGCTGAAACACTATGAGAACTTATAGCTAAAAAGCTATGATTCCATAACTTTCAAGGATTTTTAGGGTGGTTAGGAATAAGCTGCTTCTACAAATCTTTGAAAGGAAATCATAAAGAAAAGGTAGCATGGGTACACAGGAGTGGATTTTAACTACCTGTGAGAAAAAAATAAGGGCTAGGGATGGGGAAGGAATAGTAGAGCTACATTTCTTTTTTTTTTTTTTTTTGGTATCTTTATTTTTTTTTTATTTTTAGAGCTACATTTCTAAGAGGATAATAAAACATGCATGTAGGAACAGTTAGAAAATGTTCCAAGAGAGAAGAAGAGCATTTGTTTCCAGAGCCTTTCAGTATTTTTACCAATGGCAAACACATGCGCGATCTGTAATTCTATCAGCATGATAGAACATTAGACTTGGAGGCAGGAAGACCTGAGTCCTAATTCTTCCATGGACACCTGCTAGCTGTATGACCCTGTACAAATCACTTAACCTTTCCTAACCTTAGCTTTATCATCTGTAAAATGAGGATAATAATTTCTACCTCACAGGACTATTGCGAGAATTAAGGTTAGAAGTATGAGAACTTGGTTCTGGGTTCTTGGAGGAGACAGCTCAACTTCTGACCTTCCTCTCTCTAACCACGTGACTTATCTTGATATAAAAACCCTCAGCCAGCTAACTTCCCTGCTTTATTTCTCTGGCATGAAATTGATGGTAGCAGCACCTAAAATTCTGTGCCTTTAACCAGAAGACTAAAGACTTCTACTTGAGGCTGATTCCAGAAGCCATCCATCTGACAACAGGATAAGACAAGGCAATCAGGTTCCTATTGCTTGTGCTCTTAGAAATGGGATGCTGGGATTATAGCTGAAGGTGTGGTCATGGCAGGGGACACTGCTAAAGATGGAATAAGGGGATGAGGCTTGGAGGCAGGGGATAGCGTCGGGGGAGAAACCCATGGAAGGAGAGACCAAAGGTGATGTTGGACCAGGCAGTTAGTTTGGGCACCAAAAAGCTTCAGTGGTTCCTAATTAGAAGTAGAGGCAGTAATAAAAACTGTCCTATCAGTTATGGCATGGGCATTCTTTTGATGAAATATGAAATGATCTGGGGCAAACCCAAGAGTGGGAACATTTGAACTAGAACTTCACTCACAAGCCTATTTGGCTTGTGACCAGCTTCCCTTATGCATAGTTTAAACACATAGATAGGATAGAAATGCAGTCTGAGAAAAAAACTGCTTTCTATAAAGGGGGCAGGGTGTGAGGTGCAGAGAAGGGCCGGGAGGGCTGGATACTCCTGGACCAGAACCCAAACTAGAAATTTGAAGACCTTACCCCCTAGGGTAAGGGTCATGAACCAGGTCCCCTAAGTAAGGGGGTAGTTAGGAACAGAGTAGGAGGGGGACAACCAGGAGCTAAATTCTGTTGTTTTGAGAATAGTGAAGACGACAAGCTGCTGTCAGTGCCCTGGGAATTTGGGGGCAAAGCCCAGGGAACAAAGCAGAGTCTTCAGGGGAAAGCCAGAGGCTGCTTGCAGGATTTCTGGCTTCACATGATACCTGTCCTACACGAAGAAAGTGATCCGTTCTCCATGATGGGGCCTGGAGGACCACTCCTTCATTTCTCTAAGTGGAACGGGACAAGAGCCTCTTCCTGCACTGGCAGATGGGATTGGGAAGGCCATGGGAGACAAAGAGAGGATGCCCTTTAGAAGCCAGACGCTGGTCTCCCCCAGAGATACATGATGGCGAATGTAATAACTGGAACCTAATATCCCTCCCAAGGCAAAGTCAATAATTACTCTGTGGGGCACTGACAGGTGGTGTGAGCAGGCAGTACTGACGGAGAGATTCCTGGGAGAGGAGAAGGTAGCTAGAATCCCAAGAGGGGAGACTGGATGGGAGGCTGGGGGATCCAGGCTGAAGGGGGTTCCTCCTAATTTTGCCTCTTTCCACCGTAGCTGAATGGACCAAAGGACAGGAGACTATTTGCTCCTTGCCCTCTACGCCATGACCTTTGTCATCGGTCTCCCCGCCAACCTCCTGGCCCTTCGTGCCTTCATCCGCAGAGTCCGGCAGCCCCACCCAGCCCCGATTCACGTCCTCCTGCTCAGCCTCACACTGGCAGATCTCCTCCTGCTCCTATTGCTGCCTTTCAAGATCGTTGAGGCTGCCAATAACTCCCGCTGGCTCCTGGGGAAGGCCACCTGTGCTCTCACTGTGTTTGGCTTCTACAGCAGCATCTACTGTAGCACGTGGCTGCTGGCCGCAATCAGCATCGAGAGGTACCTGGGGGTGGCCTTCCCGGTCCAGTACAAGATCTCCCGGCGGCCCATATATGGACTAGCTGCTGCTCTGGTGGCCTGGATCCTGTCCTTCGGACACTGCAGCGTGGTCATCGTGGTGGAGTATTTGGAACCAAAAAACAAAACTAGTGAGAACCAGACGGACTTTGAATGCTACAACGATTTTAATGATCGCCAGCTGCATGTGGTTCTCTCATTTCGGCTGGAGCTCTGTCTGGTTCTCTTCTGCCTGCCCATGGCAGTGACTATCTTCTGTTACTGGCGCTTTGTGTATCTCATGCTGGGCCAGCCACAGGTGGGAGCCAAGCGACAGCGCAGAGCCGTGGGCCTGGCGGTCGTGACTCTCCTCAATTTCCTGCTCTGCTTTGCACCTTACAATGTCTCCCATGTGATAGGGTTTTATGAAGGCAAAATCCCAAGTTGGCGGAAGTACGCTGTGCTGTTCAGCGCCCTCAATGCTGCCCTCGATCCCCTCCTTTTCTATTTTTCCTCTTCAGCTGTTCGCAGGGCCTTTGGAGATGGACTGAAGGCACTGCGGAATCAAGGATCCTCCCTTCTGGGGCGCTGCGGTGGAGGCGCTGAGGGAGACACGGGGGACACCGGTTTGAGCCAAGGGGATGGTGTGGCAAGCTCTGACTTTACCACAGAGTAGGTCTCCCAGGGGTAACCCGTTGCTGGCGTTTGTGTGGGCCGGGGTTGGATAGGTTAAGGGAGGTGGGGTGCATAGGAATCCAATCCTGCCACGGTCTCGGGAATCCTTCCATCATGAGCTAACCATGGGCTCAAATTCGGGGGCCAGGGACATGGAGAAGTCTTTCTTTTCGAAGAAATCTCTTGAACTTCTTGACAGTTTCCTTTTGAAGAGGAACATGGCTCTAATAACACACACCGGAAATGGAAAGTAGGATAAATCAAAGAAGGATCCCCTTTTTGCCCCCCTGCCTCCCCCACCCTCCCCACCACTATGAATATACAAGAAAGTTTTGAGATTTGGATCAGAAACTTCTTCCCGATGTAGATCCGACCCATCTCTGGCTTCCAATAGTGTTAGGGAGACACTTAGGGCACAATGACTCGCCCTGGGTTACTTAGGCTGGATTTTAACCTTCCCCTTTCTGATTCCAAATCCAGTGCTTTCTCCACAAGGTTAGGTTGCTGTAGGGTGCTAAAATGGCCCCAATATAGCCCAGCTGGATTGTTGATGTTAGTGCATTAAGTCTGGAGCCTGGAGCTGAGTGAGTTTTAGGCATTGGCTTCTGAAGAACACAATGCTACCATAGGTTTAGGAGTACCTAGGCATAGTCAGGGCTATGAAAGAGCCAAAAGGAAGGAGTCAAAGGACAAATGTAAGATGGGACACAGGAAAAGACATGGGAGAAAGGCTCCCTAAAGGACAAAGAAGGATGGGAAACTACACCATTAACAAACTGAGGTTGTTCTGTTTTCATCTTGTATATATTTAGTCACTCCACAGTATGTACCTTGTCTCTCCTATTAAACTGGGAACTTCCTAAAGGTGAGAACTGCGTCTTTTTCCTCTACAGCTCCCACAGTGTCCAGGCCACAGCTTGGCATGCAGGGAATACTCCATCCATACTATGGACTTACTGCCTGACCATGGGAATAGGTAAAGAAAAGTTAGGGGGGACAGCAGATCTGAAATAACTCATAATAGCCACAGCTTTACAGCTCCTTCACATCTTCTGAGCACTCTCCTCAAACTGCCCCATGAGGTACAGAGCACAGGTATTATCAGCCCCATTGCACAGAGGAGGAAACTGAGGCTTAATAATTTGCCCAGGGCTGCTCCATAGCTTGAAAGTATAGAGCCAAGATTTGAATCCAGGTCTCTTTTGACTTCAAGTCCAGTGCTCTTTTGACCATATACTACACTGCCTAATAGTAAGAAAAGGAAGCTTCTGATTTTCCTTGGGGACTAAGGCTCCAGGATAACAGGACAATTATCTTCCTTTTCCTGGCAGACAACATTCCAGATATCACCTTTGTGCCTTTGAACACTGTTCCCCATGCCTAGAATGCTCTCTCTCCTCACTTCTATCCTTTGGAATCTCTGAAGCCCTTTAAGGTTCATCTCAAGCAGCCCCTTCATCCTCCCCACCTCCTCCCCAAGTGTTACTGCTCTCTCCCAATATCCCACTGAATTTACTTTGTATTTCTCTGTCTATCTCTGTCTACGTGTTGTTTCTCCAAAGGTAAAATGTAAGCTCCTCGAGGGCAGGGGCTGTTTCCTTTTTGTTTGTGTATCCCTAGCACCTAACATTGTGAAAGGCCCGTAGTAGGTGATTAAATTTTTTTAATTGAATTGATAGGTAACATGATGGAGAGAGGAACTCCAGCACTAGAGTCCTGGGACCTGCTGCCCATGGGGAGGAGTGGTCTCTGAGATCCCAGCTCTGAAATTCTGTGATTTGGAATAAGAAGTACAGAGTTCCACAGAAAGCAGAAATAGAGGAGAAAAGCCACACCCAGGTTAAACCATTTAAATTTACAAATGGGATGGAAGTATGACCTAGTGAGTAGCCCCTAGACAGGTAGATAATACAGGAAAGGACAGGCTTGGCTCAGAGAGGGAAGATGTGGCAAAAGAAAATATTGAAGGTACACGTTCTAAAGGATGTCGGTCTACACCAGAGAAGGGCTGCTCAACAACCTAACACAGTTCCCTAGAGCCAGCCACATGACAGCCAATCTCTTTTTCCTGACCTTCAATGCCACTCTCCCCACTTCTCTGTCCTCCTGTCCTACATTACCAGTTTTATTTCTGTAGCTTCCCCAAGGGACCCTTCATTCCAGGAACACTGACTGACTGCATCCTCTGCATTCACTTTACTACATCTTTACACTAATTGTCTCTAGAACCTACGATGCACTTTCCACCTTCTCTGTCCCTTATCAAATACAGTCTACAGTTCACCTACTCCAGGCCACCATCTTGGATTAGATTACTCACAACCATTCAATGGCATGACATATGGATGGGAAGTAAGGTGAGTTTCCCCTAGAAATAAACAGTCTTGGTACTTCAAGGAGCCAGGATTTCTGTGATGGAGATAGTTTCTCACAAACTACAACCCTCTAGGGGCCTCTGGGAGTTATGGTGGAAAAGTTTGCCGTCTTAGGGCCAACCTGGCACTGTATCTCTTCCAACTTAACGAGCCAGGTCTTCAGACAAGTGCCACCCAAAGTCTATTCTAGGCCAATACTTGTCTTCAGAACTTAGTAGCACCTTTGAGAGCTAGCTGAGACCTCAGGGCTACCTCCACATGATCAGGTGGCTTCCAAGCAAGACTTCTTTAGGACACTAAAGTGAAGAAAAAGCTAGTGCAATCTTAGGATGCATGACCATGCAGAGCTTCTGGGAAGGAGGGGTGATCATTCTGCTGTGCTCAGCCTTGGTCATCCCACATCAGAAGTGTTCCATTCAGTTCTGGGTGCCAAACTAGTTGAATATCCACAGGAGGCCAACCAGAATGGTGAAGGGCCTTGATCCATGTTATATGGGGATTGCCTGAAAGAACTAGGGTTGTTTAACCTGGAGGAAGTTTTCTGTTTAACCACACAGAGGAAGGAATAGAAGTTTCTGTTTGGCCCCAGAGTGCAGAAGTGGGAGAAATGGGTGGAAGTGGCAAAGAGGCAAACTTAGGCTTGATGCATGAAAAAAATCTTCAACCAATTCAGCATGGTGGAAAGAGTACTGACTTTGGAGTATGAGGATCTGGATTCTAATCCTGCCTCCAACACTTTCTGCCTGGTATGGACCTGGTATGGACCAATCATTTCTTCCTGGGGCCTCAGCGTCGTCCTCTCTAAAATCAGAGGGTTGGTCTAGATGTCTTCTGAGGTAGCTCCCAGCTGGAGATCTAGGGACCTGCAGATCTGAACCAACCAAAAGTGGAATGGGCTGTATTGGGCTATGGTTGGTAGGTTTCCCTTCACTGGAAATCTTCTGACAGAAGCTGAAGGCTTCAGACTCAATGGGCCTGCTGTAGTGGGGATTTCTTTTGGAAGCTGCTGAAGCTTCCTCTAACTCTGAAATTCTGAGATTATGTAAATTCTGTAATCATTTCAAAATAGAATTTATTTAGAATATTTATTTGGAATATAAATGGGTCATCCATCACATTTGAAAGGCCAGTCAACCTCTTGCTCTTATGAAACCTTTAGATTCAACTGTGACATTTTCAGATTCAGTAGCATATCCATATTTTGAGCATTACCCTGAGCGTTATTCATCAGCCCCATTTTCTTTTCCTTGTTGGTACTTTTTCAAAAAAGTGTTATCACTTCCCAGTTACTCCTTCCCTTACCCTACGTGTCTCACCTGAGCCTTTCCTTCCCACAAAGTACAGGTAAGCAAGGCAAACCAACACACTGGCCACGCCTGTGAAGGTATGCCTCATTCTGCACTGCACAGTCTATACTTCTTCCTATAGGAAGGAAGTTTCTCCATCAGTCCTCTGAAGTCACATTGGGTCACTGCACTGCTACCAGCTCTGAGGTCTTGCAACGTTGTTTTTACTTACATTACAGTCATTGTATTAATTATTCTTGTTTCTGCTTCCTTAGCTCTGCTATTCATTCATACAAATCCTCCCCCAGTTTCTCTGAATTCTTATTTGTCATTACTGTTTCAGCGTTCAGTGATATTCACGTGCCACAATTTTTCACCTTTCCAATAATAGTAATAGCTAGCATTCCTATTGTGTTTTAAAGTTGGCAAAGCACTTCACAAATATCTCATCTGTTCTTCTCAAGAACCCTGGGAAGGAGGTGCTATTTTTGACTCCCTTTTACAGGCGAAGAAACTGAGGCAGACAGATATTGAAATGACTTGCCCATTACATATAATAATAGATTTGGATGATATTGGTTAGTTTTGTTGAACTGGTTATAAAGGATGACTCTCTGAAGGGGGAAGTGAGAAGGCCACGGGAAGTGTTCATGATGGAAAAACAAAAGAACAATAAAGAATGTTTTCAAAGAAACAAGAAAGGTAGGAAGATGTTCCAAAACAAATCTCACCTACTTTACACTTTTGTGCACAGATGTGGCTGATGGAAAATAAGAGCTAGATGTTTTGTAGGATAAGCATTTGAATGCAATACGGATTTTCTGAATAAAATATGATTCTGATTGTGAAAAATTATTCTAACCAGGAAACATTTATCTTTGTTTGAAGTGTGCCATTCGGTTTCCTGCAAATGATCTTTTTTTAATGTACTAAATTACAAAGAAGACTTCTCTCTGTATATTCATAATTCAATTTAACAAATATTTCTTAAGCATCTCGATATCCTAGGTGGGAGGGGGAGGAAGAAACAGTTCTTTGCCTCAAGGCACTACTATGGGGCTGCAGTACAAATCAATGCAGCAAAAGGAAAATTTAAAAGGGAAATTCCTAACAAATGGGAGGATCAGGAAAGGTTTCATGGAGGAAGTAGCATTTGAACTGAGTTTCTGAGGGCTGGAGAAAAAGAAGGGGTGCATTCTAGGCATGGGATATGTGACTGCCTACAAGCAGGAGATAGGGTATCACAGGGGTGGGGAACCTGTGGCCTCAAGGCCACATGTGGCCCTCTAGGTCCTCAAGTGCAGCCCTTTGACTGAATCCAAACCTGTGAGTTTGAGGACTTGAGGACTTGTTAATGCATGCTTATGAATTGTTTGTGTCTTAAGCATTTCTTTTGTGGGGGAGGAAATAGCTGTCCTGTAATTGAGAGGGATGTGGGGGCAGACTGGAAATGGAGGTGGCAACCAGTTTATGGAGAGTTTTAAATGCCTAACTGTGTTTGTGTTTTATCCTAGAGCAGGGGCTCATAGTCTGGAATTCACAGACTCCCAAGGGGACCATGGATGGATTTCAGGTGGTCAGTGAACTTGGAAGAGAAAAATTACATCTTTATTTCAATATAAGTGGTTTCCTTTCTATGTAT